ATGAATGTCGTTTCGACCGATGGTCATACTCCCTTCACTTCCAACTACCGTCAAAGCTAGTAAGTAGTGAGTAATGAGCAATTACTATACACGCTGTGTCGCTGTGTAGAAAATAATATTTACATATTGTACCCGTCATTGTATTGTTACCGCGGGTGCATACATTGAAAGGATTCGATACCATGACTTTCTGTTTTTGTCTAACACACACTCGACATAGTACCTATTTTAGACGTGTTTTTTTCCAAACATTCCAATTGATCTATTGAAGCGATAAGAAATCTGAAAACAGATTTGAATTTTTCATTAAGTTTACTGGAAATCGACTTTCCCAGATTTTTAATATAATCCCCCGAATTCTTAAAAATGTCATATTAAAAAAGAGTATTTAAAAATGGTTGTATTTCAATTATTTTAGAGAAGTTAAAATAAAAAATTCAAAAATGTGTGAAAATCGATTTCTATTAGACTTGACCAAAAATTCAAATCTGTTTTCAGATTTCTTATCGCTTCAATAGATCAAATGGTATGATTGGCAAAGAACCAATCTAAAATCCTATGTCAAGCGCGTGTGTTACTCAAAAACAGAAAATCACGGTATCGAATCTCCTTAATAGTAGACTTACCTACCTCTTTTATCAGATTTAAATTTGTACTGGTGTATCAAATTATGAGTAAAACAATTTTTGTTGGTACGATATGGACGGTATTTTTATATAATAATTGGAATAATGGTAACAATAATATACTGTAAATATAATCCCAAAAAAAAACACTCCGCCATACTCCGTGTAAAAAAAAAACGCTTAGTGTAAAATAAAATAAAATAAAATCTAAAAGTTGTGATATAATTTTAAAGGTATCTAAGTCTTTGAACAATAAATATCATTTATGTTAAAATAATCTGCTAAAAATTGAACTTAAGTTAATTAGCATGATTTTATTATCAACTTTTTAGAAGATTATTTTAATATAAATGGTATCTATTGTTGAAAGACTTAGCTACCTACTTCTAAAATGATATCACAACTTTTAGAGTAATTTTTTTTTTAAACTTAGAGTTTTTTTTACATGGAGTAAGATGGAGTGTTTTTAATAATTTTTTTTTTTTTTTTATTGGTTGCCATAGTTTTTGGATAGTGCATTGTAATGCGGGTCATGGGGAATATTATCTAATAAATTGTTGAAAATACGCTACAATAATTTCTAGTTAAACTTGCTATAACTCTGTTGATATTGTCCAAAATGATTTGAAAACTACACTATGCACTTCTACGTAAAATGTCTAATTAGATTATTGTATTTTCAAACTTCATTATTATAATAAAAATTTGATAGGCCTAAATTACATTAAGCAATAAATTAACGCAATAAAATCAACACGCTTGGCTAACGCCAAGTTCACGAGAGGAAAAGTGAAAGTTGCCAATAACCACCAGTTGTATACAGCGACACAAAGACCAACTTAACTATTAAAAGATGAATTCAAATATGCAATCCTAACATTGAAGTTATTAGAAATGTGTAGCTTTAGTGATGCTGACTTCACGATTTTTAATTTTTAAACAACCTTAACCATGCACATTACTACATTAGAGAGAGGACGCCAAGTTCTTAGTCGCTCAGTTGAACATATAAAAGTGTTCGGGAATTATCGCATCCATTAGAATGTGCGGAGGTGGCAGTAGTGATGCCGTAATTATATGTAAAGCATATGGAATTTATTTGTCTGGTACTTCGGTGTACTTCATCTAATGTTCATGCTCTTAAGTTTTAATGAATATACTAACGAAAACTAAACTGATAATATATAAAATTGTTAACCGAACAGCTGGTCCAGCAACCTTAGGCCCGTCGTTACTAGAGAACAAAACCAAAATGTTAAGTCGAGAACGAACACATACCTACTTTCAGCTGACGCTTCGTTAAGCTGCTATCCTATGTCCAAGCCTACTTATAACTCTATTCTTGTGTTAACATCATGAAAATATGGTTCAAAACGTTTAGAACATAATATATTGAAAACATTGCTGTATGAAAATTAAAATTAAAAAGTAATAACTTAGAAACTTACTTTTTTCTTTTTTTCTTAATCTTGTTTTTTCATCTAAACATATATATTAATTCTATTAATTTCTGACGTATAAGAAAAAAAATCAAGGAGTATCCACTCTGCATGTAGATACATCGGTACATGTATACGTCTTGTAAAAGTAATACATTCATCGCTTCTCTCAGAATCTAAATAAAGTATATATATTTAACCTAAATATATTATTCATCGGTTGTCAGGGGTAACCTAGAGACGGTATAACATTAATTTAATCTTTGTTAAGTGACAACTGTAAGGTGTATTCGGGTAGAAAAATACAATAATATTTTAGGCCCCCAGCTCAACACGCTTTCAGTGTCGCACAAAATTATAGAACGACCCACTGACCACCAGACCAAAACTAGTATTTATTTTTTTCATTACATAAACAATACTTTTAGCTAATGTAATTTATTATTTTAGATTTTGCCCCTAGGGATGAATGGATGTGTTGGTTTTACAATTATGTGTGTTTTGTTTTCTAGCTATCATTGACATTTGGGTTATGTAGTTAATAAATGTGCTGATTTTCGACATCGGTATTTTTTCTAACAGAAAAGTGAATCTAGTTGGTGTATTCGGTGCATATCTTTACGTATATTAATCTATAGTAATATTAATTGCACATATTGTGTACAGTTATACGAGCAAATATATAAAATAATTCTAATTATCTAAATACTAACTTATTTTAATCTCAGTAGTATTTTTTGGGTAATTGGCTGAAAAAGTTATGTAATAATTATTATGCTTCACGCTTTATTTATATCATTATAATATACTTATTTATTATATTATACTATAAAACATTAACAAACAATTGTTTATTCATAAATATTAAATAGTCATTGTTGGTGCATATGCGCAGATTTCATTCGGTACCGGAAGGAAACCCTACGATCACAATTAAGCTGGACAAAAATAAGAAAAACACTGTTTATTAAATACGAATGTGGCCCATATTAGTTATATTTTATATAATTATATATTATTATAACAGAATAAACAGAAAGAAATGTTGATTAATTTTACATGTGATCTTATTTGAGTGATACAAACACGACTGATACATGTATGCACCAATGGAATTCATAATATTTCTCCATTGCTATCTTCTATTTTGGTATTATAAGTTGTTTACCATTTACGGGAACACTATGGCTCGGGTCAGATGATGGGTCTTGTAATGTTTTGGGTATTTGTATAATTCAATAAAATACGAACACTTATGTTAACATTATAATTTATAGTTAACTTTATTAAAAAACATGTTGTTAGCCGACATATATCTGAACAACATAATACATACAATTAGTGTGGCAGTCATAGACAAGAATTAAAAAACCTTAAACTAGAAGAAAAAGCACGTATACCAACTCATACACTAGACTATCCTCTCTTTAGATTTTGACAATTATCTTTCTTTTCTTACATTATAATATTACATGAAGTATTTATTAAATAACACATTATTCTATATACAATTAACAAATGTAATCATTGAACCTTGAAGGTTTTACAATATTTGTTTTTGGCCTGTCACTTTTCCTAGGAAGAAAATCAACAGTTTTACTCTCCTACGACACGTTAACTTGGGGAACATATAAGTCTGACTCGGTTGCTACAGTTTCATTCATAACTTATTGTGAGTCTCTCTTAAAGTCTTTTCTATACCAATTTTTTTATAGAAACCGCCTGCTTTGATGATTTGATCAATATGATGTTTAAAATACATATTGTTTGATTCTTCATTACAGATTTACACAGAGTTACCGAATAGTTCATCTATTATACATGGTTTCCCCCCCCCCCCTTCCTATTAGGCTGTGAGAAATCTTTGATATACGTTTTTTCTCCTAAAATAAGTTTTCTTGTTAGAAAGTTTACCTTTATTATTACGGATTTGTATATCATTTGCTAATGTATTATTTGTAATAGTTTTTTTTAGAGATGGAGAATTTACGTAAAAAAAAATATCGGTAAATTTACCGGTAAATTTTACGGTAAATTTACCAATAATGTGGTAAAAATGGTAAAATAGCTAAATCTTAGAGCCATTGTTATTTTTTATATTAGACATTAGTTAATACGATTTGTACTAGGTGCTAATGTTGCAGTATACCTACTTGTTAAATCTAGTTCTTTCTAATAATAACAATAATTAACAAAAAATTTAAAAAATGAACCTAAAATATCTATTGTTCTGTATTAGACATTAGTAATTAGTACATTTTATGAAATATGAATATTGAATTATATTCATATTACAATTAATAAATAATTTAAATTAAAATAAACTAAACTATCAAAATTCACATAACCTTTATTTCTTTTTAAGTCAAAACATTTATATTTAGACTTAACTTTTGTATTAATAATAGTATATTATCTAATTTATAACAAGTATATTAATATTATAAATGATAATATCACAGAAGTTCCTTTTTCGGTTTACCTACTTTGGTCCAACCCAAAAAATTTAAAGGTATTTTTGCCAACTGGAAAGTGGAAATTGGTAAAAATATTTTTGTTGATACGCTATAGACTATAGAGTCTAGGACTAGAAACTCGAAAATGTATCTGAAAATAGAAATATCAAATAGTCATAACAACACAGGTCGACAGCTGATAACATTATAACGATTGACGATCGACCGTATACCGAACAAATAGAAAATATGATTAGTACTTTATTCATTATTGTATTGTTATCATTTGATAAAAAATATATCTCTTTACAATGCAGACTAGGCTTTTTTGATTTCATTTGATTAGAGGGGTCACACAACATTTTTTTTTGGTAAAAAATAATTTACCGGTAAAAAAAAAATTGGTAAAATTTACGGTAAATTTTTTTACCGGTAAAAATTTACCTGGTAAATTTACACCACTCACATCTCTAGTTTTTTTAAACCATCAAATTCACTTTTTTACCGAAAATTAACTCTGCTGGAGCATACCCAGTGGTAGGATGTTGACTATTTCTGTAATTCAGTAAATACTTATTTATAGCTGACCGAAGTGAGAGAGTGGGGTTTGACATCAATATTTTTTTTAGTCCTAATTTAAATGATTTTTCTGTGTTTTCCACTGAACCGTTGCTGGCTGAGTGTCCTAGTGCTATGGTTAAATGTTTTATACCATTACTTTGACAGAATGAACTAAACTCAATTGAAGTAAAATGTGTACCATTATCTGATACAATAGTAGTAGGAAACCCAAACCCGACAAAAGTCTCTTTTAATTTATCTAAGGTATTGTTAGTATCTGCCATTTTTACACTGAACATTTCTAGCCATTTACTGTAAGAATCTATCAGAATCAAAAATATTTTATTATTAATCGGTCCAGCATGTTCTAAATATATGAGTTCAAACACTTTAGATATCTCTGACCATTTACTTAACTTTACCTCAAATGGTTCTTTACCTCAAATAATTAGGAACGATTTTAGTTCGGTTTTACTCTTAGGTTGAACCAATTTAGATGCACAGTTTAACTTATCTGGACTTTCTTTATCAATAAAATGTCCTAAATATTTTATGGTGGGTTGAAAGAATTTACACTGTCTTGCTTTTATTAAGATAAAACTCTGCTTCCTTGCATCGTCAATACCTCACTTTTTAAAAATATCTGTGTCATCAACCCCAGTTACCACTATGTCATCCAATAAGTTGGCAGTGAACGGGCAATCTCTGAAAACCTTTTCTACTACTAGTTAAGAAATTGCTGTAGCTGGTTTGATTCTGTAATTTAATCTCAACACTTCGAATGTAAATTTGTGTGTACTCCAAGCTAACAATTTACTGTTGTTATTATTTATTTTGAGTTGATTATAGGCATTACTAAAATCTAGTTTACAGAAAGTTTGTCACCCCTGGACTGCTGCAATCGACTCTTCAAGTTTGGTAAAAGGGTAATGAATGTCTTTGATGTGACAAGTTAATAGTAGCTTTATAATCAGCACATAATCTGATTTTGCCATTACCTTTTAGTACTGGAACCAACGGAGTTCCCCATTAACATAAATCGCTTTTTCTAATGAAACCACTATTTTCTAATCTTTGTAGCTCACTCTCAACTGCTAACTTGTAAGCAAAACTAATGTTCCTATATTTATGAAATATGGGTTGAATGTCAGAATTTAACTCTAATTGCACTTCAAAACCTTTATATTCATCTAGTCCATCATCAAATAATTCCTTATATTCGTCTAACAAGGTACTTAAATTGTCACTGTCATATTTGATTTCTTGAACCTGGTTTGTTTGTATGAAAGACAACCCTAATTTATTTTATTATATCTCTCCCACACAAAGGATGCCAGCTCTCAGTGCTTTTAATCACTATTAATTCAAATTCTAAGGTATGATTATATACAGCGTACCATCAAAAACGTAAGCTTAGTATGAGCTTAGCACGAGTGTAGTTTGTTCTGTAATAATTTTTTTTTAAAAACCCTTCTGTTATTATTGACCCTGCTGCACCCGAGTCTACTTCCATGTTTACTCTGACACCATTTATGTTTACAGTGATCATTATGGGTGGGACATAAGAAACCATTTTTACATTAAACAGATCAAAACTGTTGAATGGTTGTTCATTCGTTAATTCTATATTTTTTACATCTAAATTACTTCTACAAATTTGTGTTAAATTACTTACTTTTTTACATATTTTACATTTGTAGTCTCGATACATACATGAAGAAAAAGTATGATTACTTTTAAAACAGTGTTTGCATAATGACTTTCCCTTTGTAGAATTTGCACTGGCTCCATGTGACGATGACTTGGACTTTGAACCCTGACTGTGTTCTGGAGTGTTTAACTGCTTTCTGTTGAACTGAGGGTAATCCTTTTGTTTCCTCTGGGAGTGACTGAACTCATTGAGTGGAATGGACACTCTTTATTTGAAGCTTCGCATTTTAAGGCAACATAAACTAAATCAATGAATAATTTATCCGGTTCTAATTCACATAGACGATCTATTACTGAAACTTTTCCTAAACCAGTCACGAATTTGTCTTTTAACTTTTCGTGCAAATGTAGACAGAATTTGAAACTCCTGGCAAACATTTTGATTCGGACGTAATAATAGTTAACAGACTCTTGTGCACCTTGCTTTAATTCGTAAAAAATTACACCTTCTCTAAAGACTGCAGTTTTGGCCAGAAATGGTTCCTTAGTGTCCTACACAATTGTTCGTAAGGAAAAGCGTTTGGTAAAATGATTTCTCAAAATTCTCTAAGGATCACATACGTCTTTTCGCCAATTACCGTAATCAATACCGGCACTTAGCGTGTGTCTTCAATGTAATTATCAACAAAAAATTGCTCAAGGCGTTCTTCGTACATATTCAAATTGTCTCCGAAAGCTTATTCATTCGCTGAGATTATGCCGAACCCACGTGGACTTGCTGTTGTATTAGTGGTCATTGACTACGCAGTGTCAACTTTGCATTTATGAACTTCGTCCTTCTTGACTTTAATTTAATGTTCGTCACCACTGTAATGTTTTGAGAATTCCGCAACAGCCGTTTTCTAGACCTCATGATCGGAATTGCCGGATATAAAAATGAAATGCATTTATTTATATAATATAAACAATACATTAATCTAATATAGGGGGACGAGGTGGCCGAGCGGCCGAGCGGCTGCGCTGCTCCGGGTTCGATCCTTGGTCACCGGGCGGCTTTTTTCTTCGGGCAAGTCACGGTATCCGGAGAAAAAGTGCCGCCATCCCCCACTCCGGGGCATGGCAGAAACCTACGGGTGCCCCAATAGAAATTCTGCCAAACACTCACGTGTTCCTAACCGACCTAATGCATGAATGCACACGAGACACGTAAAAAAAAAAAATCTAATATATAAAAATGTCATGTCACAGTGTTTGTTATTGAACTCCTCCGAAACGGCTTGACCGATTTTGATCAAATTTTCTGTGTATATTTGGTAGGTATGAGAACAAGTTTTATTCTAATTTAAAAAGTTAATTGATCAACCCGGGATGTGCTCAAACAGTAATTTTGATACTTACGATAGAAATGTTTGTTTATTAATGGTTGCTATTCAGGGGCGTGCCCAGGATTTCTTTTTGGGGATGGTTTAGTTTAACCTTAAAGTTTTAAAGTTAAACTTCAATACTTGAACAATATAATTCAAATAAATGTAAGTATATACTGTATTAATAAAAAAAAATGTAATATTTCATGTAAATTTGTTTAGTCAAAAATAAAATAAAAATTAATAAATTAGTTATCTATAAAATAAAGTCCATTCTTCTTGATACTGATGTAAACTTTGATACAACTTCATCTGGATTTACTGGTATGTCGTTGTGAATTGAAAGTAGAGCTAAACCAAGCAGTCGACTTTCACTTGTTGTTGACTTCAAGTATGTTTTCATGCGGCGTAGACTTGAAAAAGTACGTTCTGCTGTTGCAGTTGATACAGGAAGAGTTACCAATATTTCTAACATTTTTCTTATGTTTGGGTAAAATATACCATTACATTCAGAAAGAAGTTGTAATGCATTTGATGGTCTTTCATTTTTGTCTATTTTCAGCCATTTCGTTTTCCATAATGAGTCAAATATTGTTTTATTTTTATATTAATTATTATATTATCGGATTTCCCCATAATATTATGTTAATGTTATTTTTTATTTTGTAAATATCATTAGTTAAATAAGTTGAAAAAAATAAGCCAGTCAATTTCGGGGTGGTTTGAACCCCCAAAACCACCTCCTCGGCACGCCCCTGTTGCTATTGGTTATAAGTTTTGAGAATAATATTTATTTCATTTATTACTATCCGACCCGTCATAGCTTTGCTCGTGATTGGTCGTTTATTTTGCCTTCGGACGATGATATGTATAATTTTTTATTAAAATGTTAACGTTCAATGTGATTGGCAAGTAAATATTCAAAATGGTTAATGAAAACTTATTGAAATGTTTCTAGTGGTATTAATGATAAATATATTTTTATTAAAAATAGCTGATCCAGTGCACTTCGTTACCCGTTAGATTTGCCAACTCTTATAATATATGACTCGAACTTTGTTAAATTTGATATTTAATATACGGTGTATGGTGTTTTATCTTAACTTTTCCACCTACGGTGGATTAACATAATCAATTAATACAAAATCCTTACCCAACCGTACTAAAAAAAACAAATTTAACCATTTTTAAATTAACCTATCTTCTATCCAGAGGTCTCATCTACGCACAAACATTCATTTTTATATATATAAAAAGAAGAATGGGCTGAGAGAACGGTGAAACGACCAATGTTGGCCACGTCTAATTCAGTAGCGATGGCGTTACGCAAGTGGATGTACCCGTCTGATCGTAACTTCGACTGTTTGAAGCGAATGAGATTGAGACGCTCCATGAATATTCAAATTAAAAAAATATATAAATAAATAAATATTATTCTCAACTCCTATGACCCATAGCAAACCATTAATAAACAAAAATGTCTATCGTAAATCTCAAAATTCTTGTTTTAGCACCTACCAGGGGTGATAAATTCCCTTTTTTAATTAGCCTATAACCTTCTCTTTGATGTCGTCTTTAATTTAAAAAATAACTGCAAGACGATCCAATAAGTAATTTCAGAGTTTACCCCAAACATACAAACAAACGCTTTCATTTTATATATTAGTATAGATATAGATTATTATTATTATTATTATTATTTACATAAATAAAATATATGTGCGTTCAAATGCTTCAAGATCAATCCGCTGAAACATTCTCAAACAACTGTTCGATATCAGTGATAGAAAAGTAGCTTTACATGAAAATACTGGATGCATAAAATTGAAAAACGATTTCCGCACTATCATTAATTTGCGAATCAATATTATTACCACAGATGTCCCAATTGAATTAAAACGGGTTTAGTTTCCTATTAGATTGGCATTCACAATGACAATCAATAAGTCTCAAGGCTAAACGATGTCTGTTTTTGGCTTAGATTTGGGTACATCCTGTTTTTCACACGGACAATTATAGGTGGCATGTTCTCACGGGGATAAGCCATCCAGTTTGTGTTGGCTAAAGATGGACTCCCTAAAATTATTGTAAACTCCATTGCACTAAGACACTGATAGTGTATTTTTAATTTTCATAATGTGTGACAGAGATATAATTTGAAATTTATTAGTTCAGATAATAAAATTACAATGAATTAAGAAAAAATTAATATTTGGTGTTTTGTTATTGTTCACAGTGTTTCAGTGGTCCATTCCTCTTTCGGTCAAATACCAGTATAACACATCAACACGCAACTAAAATAATTTAGTTATTTTTTATTTGACTACCAATATATTCATTAGAAATAATTTATGTGGCAAAACAACGTTTGCGGATTCAGCTAGTTAATTTATATAATTAATGTTTAAATGGAAATACTAAAAATACTAAAACTAATGTACGCTATCTTGACCAGCTGACATAGCACAGTCAAAGTTCTGCTTACGACAAGTACGGTAGATATGTTTCCCCATGAGTGAAAGTTAAGCCTATCACGAAAAGCGAATCATAATATAAAAATAAATATTAAATTTTGTACTAAAATCATATTGCTTGTAATTATTTTAATTTTTAAAAACAGCCATTTACAACAGATACATACAACATAGCAAATTATTAATTTTTAATATTACAGTATTAATATTTGTGAATTATATTTTTAAATTGTATTATTATACTAGTTTTGACTTCCGAAAAATGATGCATTAAAAAAGCATATTAGAAAAGCATAAAGAAAAAGGAGAGAAGTTCAGTTTGCATCACCAGCACCTTTAGATCTTATTGCATTGGAAATACCTGAAATATATAAACTTATTCACCATAAGGAGGTATCTAAGAAAAATGTTTATTAGCTGATAGTGGTAAAGAAATTAATAAAATCTTAATATTTGGAAGACAAACGGGTTTAAATATTTTAGAGCGGTCTACAACATGGTTTGTTTATGTACATTTAGGTAGGGTTAGTACTTCATTGTTTTCCCAAGTATACATTATTTTGGCAGAGGATGTGGGTGGTATTCATTCAGTACTATACGCACTATATTACCAAATGAAAAAAATAAAACTTATAGCAAATTATTTACGATGTTAATCAATTTAAATCCTGGATTATTACCACATTCTATATTTCCATTAATTTGAAATTGACGCAATTCATGCACTTAAAGAAGCGTTTTCTCAAGTCATTATACATGGATGTATTATTATATTTTAACAAAAAAATGTAGAAAAAAAATTGAGGACATAGGAATGATATCAAATTATAACAATGATGCTAATTTTTTTGTAATGGTAAAAATGATATTTTCACTAGCATTTTTACCGATGAAGATCTGGACATAGCAACAGATTTGCTTGCTGATGAAATTGTTCCGTTACTCGAATGGTTCAAAGAATGTTATGTAGGAAGAAAAAAATCGAATAAAAGATGATCGTTGATCACCACAATTTCCTCCAGAAATTCGGAATTTATATAAAAGGCAGGTATGTTAAGTACTATTAACAAATCAAAATCGTAAAAATAACTATGCCTAAAATGGCAAAAACGAAATAGAGTACTTCAACGACCGTCGTCTAGTAAAGTTCATTATCGACCCCACCGCCGCGCCAACCGCGGTGTTTTAAGCAAACATCGGGAAGACTGCACGCTGTGAGCGACCCAAAGTACCTACCAGTGGCTTAGGATACCAATTACGCAACACACAGCGCTGCGTACAAATGACTGAACCCTGCATGACTTACCAAAAGTGTGCATCAACTAGGTAAAAAGTTCAAGTTAAGTTAAAAAGTTATATTTTTTAAACTTTTTACCTTAACTAGTCAGTTAATTTTCTAAACAACTTATAAACTTAACAAGTTTAATTTACAGTTGAAATAACTTAACTTTCCTATGTTTATTGTATTCCAAATTTAGAATTTGAAACTTTTATTATAAAAGTAATTTTGTAATTTTAATTTATTCTAAAAATCATCAGTTAAGTATTAAATTAAGTACTTTCTTACACAAAATATGATTTTCATAGAAAAAAATCTTTG